GAACTGTATTTGCCAATTCCGTCACAGTTAAGAGTGGGTGGTGTTTTGATGCTCATAGCCAAAAACTGTCAAATGAGCAGGGCTGGAACAGTTCGACCAGGAGGACTTAAGGCTCTTTGTCTCTAATGTATTATTCTCACAGTGGGGTCACCTCTGTCCTCTAAAGAGCACAGTTTGTAACGCAAAGGCACCTTTAGCTCCTTCAGCTTGGAAGGTAGGGCGCTACTGAGACAGCTTCATGGTTTTCCTCAGAGCAATGGCAGCCAAAAGGAATTAGTTGCATCCTAAACTTCAGAGTAAAAAGGAACAAGTTCTTATGTGGTAGCAGAGGTGTTCACAGTTACACCTGGGACCATTTGAAACTGTAAGTGAACCTGGGAAAAATGTACCCGTCCTCTTTATGTATTCATGTTTACCTTGTAAACTCTAAGAAAAGGCCATTTAAATGTTTTGGGGTCCCTTATTAAAAACTAATTCCTATAGGACAACTTTAAAGACATAATTCCAGAGATGTTATGATGTGATCAGTGAATTCAGTGAGGGATACACAGGCTGTTGTGCTACCAAAAGTTTTGGAAAGCAAAAAGTAAATGTTGGGATAAACCAAAAAGAAGATGCCGGTTTATGTGATAGAAGTACTCTGACCACATCAGGGCGTAAGATCAAAAATACGACCCACATATATATTTCCTCTCCCTCTCCGCTTCCTCTCTTTATAGTTTGAGCACACTGTTATGAATTTGCTCCTGGGCTCATTGGTTTGATGAGTATTAATCTCTTTTCAAGGGACGATTAACTATTTTTTAAGAACTTCCACAATAAGTGACTTACATTGTGCTTATTTCTGTTTTTTTCCCCACGAAGGATTTGATGAAGTAGACTGACACAAACATCCTCTCATTTCCATCTCAAGCTAAAACTCAAAAATAAAAACAACAGCCACTGTATAAAAGAGAATCAAAAAGTTTTTGTGTTTTTCAAGTTGTCAAATTTATTACAAACTAAAAATCTCTTTCGAACTGGCACCAAGGTGGCTTTTCTTCTTGAGCTGATTAGGACCACATGAGCTCAGGAAAAGCTGTCAGATCCTGCCTCTGGCGCAGCTGGAATGATCCAACTGATTTGCCAGTATGATTTTTTTTTTTTAAAAAGAAAAAGAAAAAGAGAAGCTTCATCCCAAAGTCATAAATTTACATTCTGGAGCTCCAAGAAAAAAGTATTCCTTGTTCATTTTAAAAGAAGCAAAATGCCATTGTGACCTCTTTTATGGGACCTCCTAAAAAACAAAAGCAGATGGGACAATATATTGGGCATTGATTTATGCCATAGTAGAACCGAACGCTGTGTCTTCTCTCTAGTTATAGATTCCCACTGACACATGGGGGGTCTCATTCAGAAAACACTAATCCTCGAGAAATAATCATAAACAAAGACCATGCTAGAATGTTTACCTTTTAAGAATTGTTTGTCAGGCTGGCCCAAGGCAAATTAATGGATTAGGTCAAACTCTTCTTCACCTGACCAATGATGGGCTCCCGGATCTGCTTTACGGCATTCCCCAGGGTAAGTTAAGGCACTCAAGTAGATACTGACTCCCCAAGGAGGTTCCCTTCCTCACTAGTCCACTCTTCACATCAAAATGTACCTGACCTGACTTTTTCATTAGGTCTCCTCTCTTTGCTAGATGGCCCTTGGCCTGATGATAATAAAGGCTCGATTAATGTATTCATGGACCCTAATAAATTTGTATTTATCTTCTCAGGAAACACAGATGCACTTAATCAGACCCAGAGTCCTACTCCCTTAACTCAAAAAGATGACACATATCAGTGTTTTAGCAAATAGGCTTTTCAGCCCCTTTGATAGCACATTCTTGGATCCCACCAGGGAGGCAGATGTTTTGCTGGCTAAGCATTTTAAAATTGAGAGTTTGTTTGTTTGTTATTAAGAGAAAATTTTAGGAAGACAGTGATCTTTACGTTGATTCTGCACATTCTAATTTGACTATAATTCCTCTCTTGCTTTGACCCTTTCTATGCACTACATTCTGAGAAAATATACGTATATATATATATATATAAAAATAAAATTTTTGCTTGCTTTTGGGCAAAAATCCAGAATCCCTAGCCAGGCTGGACGGATCTGGCCTACCATTCCAGTGTGTTCTTCATGTGCTTTAAAAAAGAGGGCCTCTTAGTCTCTTTGCCTTTGTTAAATTACTAGAACCATTTGAAATTATTCCTTAGTCCAGATACAGAGCCAATAATATTATACACCAATCACTGATTGGGAGCTATAAATTTTCTCTGTGAAAATAGTGTGCAGAATTTTATAACCCATCGTTCCTCTATTAACAGTTAACCAGGTTGAGAGGATTTGAATAAAAGCACATCTTGTTGCATGCAACAATGGTTTGACAGAAGAGCTGTATGGCAGAGTCAGTATTTTACTGCTCTCAGCTTCGCCACACAGTTTTGTAGCCTGGGAAGCCATGCATGCAAAATGGCAGGACTTACAATTGCCTACAAAAGGAGAGTACAATGCTACCTGTGGAGCCTTGTCCCATGAGACGATGACAGTTCCGGGCCTTAAAAATACCCTAAATTGTTGAATAGTTTCAGAATAGAATTTGCCACTATGTGAAGCACTCATCAATGCAAGGCCTTTTCAAGCAACTGTTAAGACATAATTATTCAATTTTACAACCATCCATTTATTGTATCATGAGAAAAAGGGAGGAATGCATCGAAGTTTACATATTTATGGATGAAATACATGGAGGTTTGATTTTTGATCACTTTCAGAGGCAGGAAAAGTGGCTCAGACACGACGGAAAGAGCTTCGACAGCCTTAAACACAGCTCTTTTCCAAAGTGACTTCCCTTTACTCATCCACCTCCCCCCACCAAAAAAAAATCAAAATGTACTTCATGAAACTATTGTATATGAAGCACTTATTAGCCGTAATTAAATGGACAATATGAATTTACTACGTCTTTAGGACTCTGGCTTGTTCTGGTTTAGAGCAAGATGATTAATGCAAATACATATTACTTGAGATAACCATTTAGCAGCTAATTTAGCCAAATTTATTACAGCAGTTAGAGGTTTTTCATTTTAGCAGACGGAGACAAGGACATGCCAAAAGTGGGCGACGTGGACGAGTGCACACTGCCCTCTAGTGGCCAGCCAGCTGGCGCGCTTCTGGGGGGTATGGAGTTGCGGCCATCCGTATCCAAGTAATAGCGGCAGGTTTTGCACGTTTCCGGCGTCCTTTTAAACCATTCCCATCCATAGCACTTTATTTCATGGGATGATTTACTGCACTTTCCCCTTTTACTAGCTCAGGAGTACCCAGATACAAATCAAATCAATTTCGACTTGGCAAGATTTTGGTTAAAGTATCATTTTTAACATCTGCATTTTAAAGCCCTCTTTCAGTGGGTATTTAATGGCACCGTTTCACATTACTGATTGTTTTTACTTGTTCCTTCATTTTGGGCCATATTTCAGAGTCTGTGTGGAGCTGTCACTCTGTTTGGCTCCAGCCAAGTCAATTCTGTGCCTGCCTCCCTTAGGCCAGTGTTTTTCTCTGACTTGGTTAGGGAATTTATTTTGTTCCAACATTCTGTCGTCTCACCAGAATTTCCCGACTGACCAATGTAAATTTAGCTCATACGTGGACTATAAATTCTGTTACACAAGATCAAAAGGAACACATGCATAAGGACGCTGGTCAACACTGCTCACACTGGTGACAGATCAAAGACGGAGGGGTAAAGCATCTTCGGAACCATTCAAATATCCAGAATCTCAAAGAGATCTACCTCGAAACTATGAATAAATCACATACAAACTTGCCTTTGTTACCATCTGACGTCAAGCCCATTGACAGTATCCACACCGCATTAGGTATTCTGTGAGCCAAAAAGATTTGTAGTCCTTTTATTCTTCCTTTCACACCATGGCTGCCGAAAATGGAACAAAGTCTTGCTGCAAAAGCTAGTAACCCTCGCTCGGGAACTGCCGCTCCACTGAATTGTTGATTTTATTTGTCCTACTGATGGCATCCTCCATTAAGCATACAGAGGGGTAGCCTGGCTTGGTGCAGGACCTCCCCTGTCTAAGCTTGAGGTTTTGTGCAGATGACAATCATCTGGTCTCAGTCTTAATACACAGTGCCTTCTATTTTTTGTTTTGTTTTGTTTTGTTTTGCTTTGCTTTTCCCCCTCAGTGCTGAATAAGGGCCAGTGTGTGACGAAGTACTATCGTTGGATGCAGAAGAACGGAGGCGAGGTTTGGATACAGTCTAGCGCCACCATAGCTATTAATGCCAAGAACGCAAATGAGAAGAACATCATCTGGGTGAACTACCTTCTTAGGTATATTTTCTAATTCTTTTTCATTTCTGTCTCAGTTATAAAGTATGCAGCCCAATGGTGAATAACTAACATATTATCTTTTGACAGTATCTGCTGTGGAATTATGTGGGAAATTCTGCTTTTCTTTCCACAAGATTCAAAGAAATATGAAAAGATCAAAGCTATGTTAGAAGGGACTTCTAGGGCAGATTCGCAACACTTTCAATAATTCTTGGTCTGTCAGCATTCGGGAAGCTCTGCAGAAGTTGCTTTGGTTTTCCCACAAATGTCCAGGCCATAAAAAGAACACAGACTTTTGCCTAAAGCTATAGCCTTCAAAAGCACCTCCTTCTCCCCACCACAGGTACACATACTCACACACTCCAATCCTTGTGAAAATTAAACGAAAGGGGATGAAAAAGAAGGGTACGCTATATTTGTCCTACTGATGGCATCCTCCATTAAGCATACAGAGGGGTAGCCTGGCTTGGTGCAGGACCTCCCCTGTCTAAGCTTGAGGTTTTGTGCAGATGACAATCATCTGGTCTCAATCTTAATACACAGTGCCTTCTATTTTTTTGTTTTGTTTTGTTTTGTTTTGTTTTGTTTTGTTTTGTTTTGCTTTGCTTTTCCCCCTCAGTGCTGAATAAGGGCCAGTGTGTGACGAAGTACTATCGTTGGATGCAGAAGAACGGAGGCTATATTTGGATACAGTCTAGCGCCACCATAGCTATTAATGCCAAGAACGCAAATGAGAAGAACATCATCTGGGTGAACTACCTTCTTAGGTATATTTTCTAATTCTTTTTCATTTCTGTCTCAGTTATAAAGTATGCAGCCCAATGGTGAATAACTAACATATTATCTTTTGACAGTATCTGCTGTGGAATTATGTGGGAAATTCTGCTTTTCTTTCCACAAGATTCAAAGAAATATGAAAAGATCAAAGCTATGTTAGAAGGGACTTCTAGGGCAGATTCGCAACACTTTCAATAATTCTTGGTCTGTCAGCATTCGGGAAGCTCTGCAGAAGTTGCTTTGGTTTTCCCACAAATGTCCAGGCCATAAAAAGAACACAGACTTTTGCCTAAAGCTATAGCCTTCAAAAGCACCTCCTTCTCCCCACCACAGGTACACATACTCACACTCTCCAATCCTTGTGAAAATTAAACGAAAGGGGATGAAAAAGAAGGGTACGCTATAGTCCTCCTATATTCTATTCCTTTGAAGCTTTCGGCACATTACATAGGGTTTGATTCCCTAGGCATTGAAGTTTTAGTAAGCAAAATGAGTTGATTTGCCAGAATCAAGACAATATCAGTATAAAAATGAAGGCAATCTTCTCTTGCCTGCTCTGTGATCTCAGGAAAGTTTTACAGCTGTTTTAAAGCATCCACAAATTTACATCCATAAATGAAGCCAAGCTCCACGGCATCCTAAATTCTAGCGTAGAGCACCATTTCTCAGTCCTTCCTCACTTTCTGCCTTTGGATTCAAACTAGCAAAAAAAAATTGCCAAGACCAACAGCCTGGGTGATCTGCAACTGGGGGCGACCTTCCTGGGAGGTTCTCCACCAATCCTGTCATGCGGCTATGTCCCGCTCCCTCCCAGCACTCTCATTCGCTCTTCGGCTTCTTTTGGCCTATAGCCGCCAAGCAGGGTCTGAGTAGGAAAACTCCCAATAGGTCTTATGAATGGAAGTTGTTGCCCTTTGGCTGATTATCTAGAGAGGGAGTACTTCAATCCCATTTTTCTTTGAGACGGCCAAAAGGAGCCGAGATGCTGACAACCATGGCTCATCAGCACGCTGACCCTTCAGAGTGTTCACATACTTTTGTGATGACTTGAAGGCACGAATGTGCTTGCTACCAATAGCATATCAATCAGACACTAATGATTATTGCTCTGGAGAGGGCTTTAATGTGCACCACTTAAAAGAGTCTTCATTTATCTACTTTCTTTTTCCTTTTTTGACCTCTTCTACTCTATGTTAATTCTCTCTAAAGGTATTTAATGTAGATTTCTCCAAGACCTGATTTTCATGCAATCATGTGTTTGTGATATGTTCAAGATGGGTTCTGATATCAAGCAGTCCTTTTACATAAAGGTTATGGAACAGTGGCAATGTGTCACAGAAAAGCTTATAAAAACTTAACACACCAGAGAGAAGGTAGAGTAAGGAAGGTGCTATGGCATTGACGATCTTTTGCTGGGCAAAAACGGAATTTATCAAGGAGATCCATTATTGTTAAGAGTTAGTCACTGGTAACAGGGACCCCCATCGATGAGAGAATATCTGTTTCCCATGCTGCTATAGCCTAGGGTACTAAAATAATTTATATGGTTGTTATTCCCATTTAGAAAAGTTTCTTCTTATCTGGATCTTTCTTACTGCCTCATCAGCCTCATCATTTTCTATTCTGCCCCCAAATGGAGGGAGTGATAAGGGTTAAGGAGAGGTCGATCCACGCAACTTTGTATCAACACTATTGGCCTAGCTTAATACCACATGGTATAAGCTCATGAGTGTTTGGTATTTCTAGTCCATAGAATTCCATATGGAGAGGAGGGAATCAAAGACCAGTCTTCAGGCTCAAGAGCCTCAATCTCAGACATGCTAGACCTGTTTCAGCTGACCTAAAGACTCACTCTGAGTTCCATAATAAAAGACTAAATTGGATGACAAGCGACTTGTGAACCCCCATGTCACCTGGACCAAAGGAAACTAATATAGATGGAAACTCTGCCAAGTCTACCACTCACTGATATCAATGTCATAGGCTAGACATCTAGTATGAAAAGGACTTTGCCCCTGCAAAACAGCAACAATTGAAGTTTGTTTTTCTTTCCCACATTCTTGTCCTTTGTTCTTCCCTGACCAGGATTTTCATGCTCCCTCTTCCTACCCAGAGTCCCTCACTTCTGGGCCCCGTCTAGGCTTGTGCTTCCCTGTTATGAAGTTATTCTCCCCAGTCTTCTTCCCATTTCTCTCACAATGCTTGGTAGAATTACACTCTTAGAGTATTCAGAGACTGCATTAGTGCTTAGGCTACCTTCCCACCATTAGTCTCAACTGATTATCTAGAGAAAGCTCCGCTGCTGAAGCTAATTCAGACTAAGGAGTAAACGCCTGATAATCCATCTCAGTGAATTAACCCTCTCAGAGACATTCGCAGTTTTCGAGTAGTTACTGAAACCGTGACTCTTTAATATAGGAATTTCACTAGAGATTAGCAAATGAGTTAGTAATCATCTATTGTAAGAATCTCATTGGCTAACCATCATGGAAGGACAAAAGAAGCATTTTCCATTTGGAAACAAGAGGCTTTCCTCGTGCCTTCAAATTATAGTAACCTATACTGCTTATACATTGGGCCAGACTCGGAGTGGCATTTCTAGAAGACAGCTAACTCAAACTTGACCAAATACTCTCCCTTTTCCAGAAGAGGCTTGATTCAGAATTAAAAATAGAATGAAAATTAAGCACGTTTGTGCAAATGGGGTTAGATCCATTCTGTTAGGGCCTCTTTCACACGGGGACTCTCCCCACTGCAATCAGATTTCCAGCTAACAAGCCACAGGTGTACACCACATGAGCAGATGAAAATGTGATTGTAATGGGTGTGTTGACAGTTCGGTAGCCATAATCCATGCATCCCAAGGTGCACCTGTGCATCTGTCAGATCTCAGGCGCTGAGGGCTCTGCCTCCACCTCCCACAGCCTTGGAGCCATCTGAACAACTGAGAAGCTCCATTGAGGAGCCAAGACAACGGTACTGAGGCCATGGACTCATTAGGAGCACAAGAGAAGACAGGGCACACCAGGAGGTATGGGAGTGAATTGTTGAGAGTACTTCTCATCCTCCCTTCCCCCAGGTGTTAAACTGGGAGGAATATTAAGCAGCACAGTTCCCTGGCCCCCAGTGGTACCTGATTATTTAAAAGCCTTTTAGTGGCTTTCATCTAGTATTTGGGTATTTAATCATTGTAGCAAGGTGCACCTGTACCCCGGCACATGCAATCCAAGTTTCTGTAAAAGTCCCATGATGAACTGGGAAATGATTTCATGTTTAGACTTTTAAACTCTCTAAACTCCAGAAGTTTGGGGCAAGGAAGTGGGAAGAAGATGGTCCAAAACAAACCATACAGAACGGGTGTCCGCACTCCTGATGAATGCCTCCCTCCCCTGCAGTAATCCCGAGTACAAGGACACACCGATGGACATCGCACAGCTCCCCCACCTGCCGGAGAAAACTTCAGAATCCTCGGAGACATCCGACTCCGAATCAGACTCTAAAGACACCTCAGGTATTACAGGTATTACTACTTCTCCATGTTCTGCAGTTATGGCTTGCCTTTCCAAACACGAGGGGAGGGGTGGGCCATGGCCAAAGGGCCATTGTCAGAGCACAGAAAGTGGTCTTATGTGCAACCACATACACACGTACACCTACAGATGCGCGTATACATACATACAATACTTACACATATATATGCGGTGGTGTAAAAATATATACATTCGTATATGTATGTAAATACTTACATATAGGTATGTTGTGATACTTATACACATATATGTATATTGTAGTGTATAAACGTATATACGTACACAAATATACACAGATTGATTGAGCGAACACTTAATGTCAACCCTCCACTGTTGGTACAGAAGGAGGCCCACCCTAGCCCCATAGCTAGCTCTGGCCTCTTTACTGGAAGCAGATAGCAGGGCTGTCTCTGATGTCCAAGGCAGACCGTGACTTTGCACCCCAAACTCACATCCTCACCAAGCTGGAACTGAGCCTCTACAGTGGATATTCAATACCATTGGAAAATGACTCTTTCAGGGTGCTAGACTGTTACTCATTTTCTGAATCTATGCAGGAGAAATCCATGCTTTCCCATGTCTAGTAATTTGGGGAAGTAGACTTTTCTAAGTAATTCTTTGGAGCACAGGAAAGTTAATATAAAAATGTTCCTTTCCTCCAATCCCCAACCCCTTTCACAGCTACACACAGAGCCAAGGAGCACAGAACTCACAGAACTTTACAGGTGCACAAGTCCCGAGCTTCTTCTAAACCAACCTCTTCTGCTATGGAAAGGAAAGCCAGAGTAGTTACATGATTTGTAATCTAGGCCCTCAAGAGATAGAAAGCCCAGGCTTTAAGTAAGCAAGGTGGTAGAGAAGCTCAGGATGGGGCACGACCCCCCACAACCCCCCAACAGGTGAGAGGTGGATCTTGCCCTGCTCATGTGGTGTCTCCTTTGTCTCCTGTCCCTGCACCCACCCCCACCACCCACCTGCCGCCGGCCCCGCGTAGAGGACAACGAAAACTCCAAGTCCGACGAGAAGGGCAATCAGTCCGAGAACAGTGAAGACCCGGAACCCGACCGGAAGAAGTCCGGCAACACGTGCGACAACGACATGAATTGCAACGACGATGGCCACAGCTCCAGCAACCCGGACAGCCGCGACAGCGACGACAGCTTCGAGCACTCGGATTTTGAGAACCCCAAGGCGGGCGAGGACGGCTTCGGGGCGCTGGGCCCGATGCAGATCAAGGTCGAGCGCTACGTTGAGAGCGAGTCGGACCTGCGGCTGCAGAACTGCGAGTCGCTCACGTCCGACAGCGCCAAGGACTCGGACAGCGCGGGCGAGGTGGGCGCGCAGGCCTCCAGCAAGCACCAGAAGCGCAAGAAGAGGCGGAAACGGCAGAAGGGCGGCAGCGCCAGCCGCCGGCGCCTGTCCAGCGCCTCGAGCCCCGGTGGCCTGGACGCAGGCCTGGTGGAGCCCCCGCGGCTGCTGTCCTCCCCCAATAGTGCCTCGGTGCTCAAGATCAAGACGGAGATCTCGGAACCCATCAACTTCGACAACGACAGCAGCATCTGGAACTACCCGCCCAACCGCGAGATCTCCAGGAACGAGTCCCCCTACAGCATGACCAAGCCCCCCAGCTCCGAGCACTTCCCGTCCCCGCAGGGCAGCGGGGGCAGCGGGGGGCTGCACGTGGCCATCCCCGACTCGGTCCTCACGCCGCCCGGCGCCGAAGGCGCAGCAGCCCGCAAGACTCAGTTCAGCGCCTCGGCCACCGCGGCCTTGGCCCCCGTCGCCTCCGACCCTCTGTCACCCCCCCTCTCGGCATCCCCGCGGGACAAGCACCCCGGGAGCGGTGGCGGGAGTGGCCCCAGCACGTCCAACTCCTTGCTGTACACTGGGGACCTAGAGGCGCTGCAGAGGTTGCAGGCGGGCAACGTCGTGCTCCCGCTGGTGCACAGGGTGACCGGGACCCTGGCAGCCACCAGTACGGCCGCGCAAAGGGTCTACACCACGGGCACCATCCGCTACGCTCCCGCCGAGGTGACCCTGGCCATGCAGGGCAACCTGCTGCCCAACGCGCACGCTGTTAACTTCGTGGACGTTAACAGCCCCGGCTTTGGCCTCGACCCCAAGACGCCTATGGAGATGCTCTACCACCACGTGCACCGGCTCAACATGTCAGGACCGTTCGGCGGAGCTGTGAGCGCGGCCAGCCTGACGCAGATGCCCGCCGGCAACGTGTTCACCACGGCCGAGGGACTCTTCTCCACGCTGCCCTTCCCCGTCTACAGCAACGGCATCCACGCGGCACAGACTCTGGAGCGCAAGGAGGACTGAGGCGCGCCCAGCGCGGGCGGGTTCCGCTCGGAGGCATCGTCGGCGTTTTCGTTTAGACCTTTAATTCTAGCACTTTGAATTTGAGCAGGTCAGCGTCTTCTCTCAACATGGTGGTCCCCATCCCATCCCCTCTTTCTTTAACTTGACTTATTCTTTCCTGTAAAGATATGTTTATTTTTGGCCTTCGGAGGGTCAGATGACCAGTTGCCTGCCATTTTGTCTTCTTCTGAGATGTGTGTTGGGTTGTTTTGCTTTCCTTTGCATCTTTATTAAGATGTCTTTAATGTGTATATGCCTCTGCCATAGAATACTCAGTCTTGTGGTCAAGAGATTTCTCAAGTGACAACTATTGGGTTTTCTTCATAAAGATCTTGATGTGATCAAGATTAAAAGAGACAAGCATAAACAATGTGCCCTGTTTGACTAAGTCAAATGAAATGGGTGGTTTTTGTTTTTGTTCCTAATTCCTTTGAAAATAGGGGGATAGTATTTTAGAATTTTATGCAGAATTTAATTCTCTTTTTATGGTTAAGATTTTAAGATTTTCTTACTTGCACATAAAAATAATTTGGGTTATTAAACTTAATTTCTGGCCTGTGACTAGAATGTTTTAAAAAAAACAGTTGGACTAAATGTTAATTACTGAAACATTAACTTAATTTCTAAAACCATGGTGCTATCATTTATTAATCTGTAATGTCTTCATACAAAATGCAGCTCCTGGGCTGGGTTTTGGAAAAAAAATGTGTTCTGTCCTGGTCTGGAGTCCGTTGCTGCAGTCTCCTTGGTTAGTTAAGACAAAGCCCTCATTAACGTTTGCTGCAGGACTTAAAATTTTTTTACCTCCCAACTAACAAACATAGCCTCACATTAAATTTAATGGGTCAGTAAAGCCCTTTTTAAAGGGGCTTTTGGAAAACTCAATCAAACTGATTTGAGGAGCAGTTTAGGTACATATTGCCTTTTGGTGAGCTCTTTTTTTTTTCCTTTTCTCAGTCTAACTGAGGCTAATTTTTACAACTTCAGTAACACTTCAGAGTAAAAGAAGGAAAAAAATATTTAACATGTTTTTTTTTTTTTTCATTTCTTGCTTAAAAAGGAAGGTTGTATTTTGGGGGACTGATTTAATTTGATGGATTTTTTTTTTCCCCTTTGCTTCTTATTTCTAGGTTGGAACCAATACGGTTTAAAACTAAAGAATGGGTTAATAAGCTTCAAACAGATAACTGCAACTGAAAACTGCACATTAAATACAAAAAAAAAAAAAAGAAAAAGAAAAAGAAAAAAAATCCTATTTTGTCTTTGTTGCCAGAAATCAGTGTAGTGTCAAACACTCCAAATGACTGTCAAGTATAAATTCTTCTTCCACTCCATTTTTGGCAGCTGTTTGTTAAGGCATCTAATAACAGATGTGAGAACTGTAACGTGTGCAATGTGTACGTGTCCTTGGCTGTCGTCCATTGCAGTTTCAATGTGTGTTTCTATATGCAGTATATACTAAGCTAATGTAGTTGTTTTGTCCTTTGTCTTCTCTGTGCTCTATCTCTAGTCTGGAGTGGTCCAGTCCCATTCCTGCAGTCCTAGTGAATCAGTGATTCTTGGGGGTTAGTGATTTTTGTGTGGTGGCCTTCCTCTGTAATGTCACCCCTATGCTGCTTCTACTGTCTGTGAACCTTCCGTTTCACTTTTTAAAA